ATTTGATCGAGAGACTCGTGAAAACACTTTCCATGTGGCTCACTTAAAATTAGACTACGTAATGCCAAATGCAAACACCGAGGCATATTGTTTTTTTTAATAGTAAGGAATATTAAGGAATATACGGTGATTCGTGGTGATTGGTGACAAGGATGATATTACGGTATGCAATAGAACGAATAAAAAATAAATAAATAAATTTATTTAAATTAGCAACGACAGCTCTGATGGGATGTCGAAACATCAACCGAACATCGCTACCTTATTTACACATTAAGAAAAAAAAGACGATATTGTCAAGTGCAGAAAATACAGATGGTATGCTTGAGGAAACCGCACGTCAGATCACAATCGTCATCAACATTGCGTGGTAAGGTGAGGAGCGACTTATTAAGGTCAAAGAATGGGACACACATAAGCACGTCCTATTGTCTTTTCATGTTGACAGCGGTAACCACACAATGAGAGAAATTTTCTATTTACGAATATAACGGTCACCAGAGTATTCATTTTTCATTTTTTAAATGAATAATTTTCGATGGCAAGATTCATAGAAAGTGAGAGAAGGATACACAACAGAAAGTTATTTTTCGCAACGCATTGTTTTTCTTTAATTTCCACGGAACCAACTTGCCAATATTGATTGTTGCAGTTTCCACGCTAGAAGCCAATTCACTCTTTTTTCTCTCATTTTCATATGTCCGTCACCTTTTCAACAAACCACCGTTCCGAATTGCTCTTGATGAAACACAGTGGTTCTGGTGGCACCTCCTTATTAATCGCAATGTCTCACCGTGTTGATGCCATGCTACCTTATAATGTCTCACCAAATATCCTGTAAGGACAATGGCAATTAATTGGTTATCGTGGGATGACGGATTAACGAAACAAACTCGTCCTATCATTCATTATCAGAATAGGTTCGTATTACCAGAATTCCCCTTTGTTCTTAATTTTCCTTTCTTTGTTTTTTTTTTTCTTTCTCGTGATGTTTCTCTCTCGTGGCGAAAGTCGGGTTGATGTACCCTGTCGATAATTGTTCAGGGTCCATTACAGCGTCAAAAAAAAAAAATTTTTTTTTCTTCGCTTGTTCGCCATCTCCTTCGGAAAAAAAAAAAAAAAATTTTTTTCTCGATCGTGTATTGATTACATACAAATGTGTGCATTTTTCTGCTCCACATAAAACGTTCTTGAACCAATCGTAATTCGGTCATGGTCGCTTATGTAAATTTGTGAACGTTGGATGTTCAGAGATAACCTATGCGATATCAAATTATCAAATGATTTTTTATTATCTGAAGTGATCAAAGTTTATTTGTTGTGTCATCCAACTGATAATTTTGATTGATGCCACAATGGGTTCAATTATGATCATAATATAAATGAGAAAGATGAAAAGTAAAAAATCATAACCTTAACCTTTTCATGTAGGTGCAGGCAAATGTAAGTAAACAAAAGATTTGTGTGTCACCAAAGCCATGAAATCAAATCCTGAATAGTAATGTATGTGATGATACCGTTTAAACTCTTGCTCTTACATTATACACGACTATTTTTATTTATTTTTATTCGCCTACCCGGAAGTTCTTAAGTTCTTTTGAATGACCGCGGTGACGTTTCCACAACGTTCAATCCATCACTGATATCAAAGGTTCCTGCTTGTTGCACGATGCAATATGATGCGACCGAATCGCCTTAAAAATTTTTAATACGCTTCTGATATCCAGTATAGTACTAGTTGAATATATATTATGCCACACGTAAAGTTTGTCGAGTGACTTGATGATGTGCGTGTATGGTAAAAGGATCACGCAACCGACAATGGACCTGGTACATACCTTGTTTTACGTAAAGAAAAAAATTTTCTGAAACACCTCTGACAATTTGTTTTCGCAAACGCATGTCCTTTCCGGGCTTTGGTGGATTCCTGGCATCCATCTCATCGCATTTGGTATCATTAACGGCGTCATGAGGCATGCTACGTAATGAAAAACCTTAATTGTCAAATTAAATAATGTATAATAAATATCTGATAGGCTTTTGATTGGCCATCACATCGACTATGACGAAATTGTTCCTTTATCTCGGTATCACTTCTTTCACGCGTTTCTCGTTTGATTCACACAACCAAACCCTGTGCACGCATGTACATGGCAAAGACATCTCACTTACCATTGAACAATGAGCATGCGCAACTTCAGTTAACACGTTCAATTCAGTTTACATCAGTTTACATTTCTTTACATGTCGGACGGACGGACGATTCTCTCGCGCGCAATTCGTGATCATCATCTTTTTGCGAACGAAATCGCTTCGGAATATTAGATATACAAGTTAATTGACCACTTTTTTCAAAAAGCGTTCGTTCATCCTCCATTCGTCGTCAACGACCGTCGCTTTTTGTCGTTTCACGTGAGTGTTCCATCACGCACATGGATAAGATTATGTACATGTCACAATCATTCACAATTATTCTCAATCAATCATTCTCGTAAAGTAACTAGACCATTTTACGTGAGGCTTGGTAATCATCTTCCGTTTGGATAATAAAAGTTTATCTCTGACGAAACGTCGATCTCCAGTAGTTTCTCAAAAAGTCAATTATTCATATCAATATCTTTATGGTAATTTAGGTAATGATTAATGATCGATGGCTCACCATTAATCTCCCACTGGCTTGTTCATGTACACATGATGACCTATTGTTGTCAAAATATACGTTTACCGTACTGTCCCTGATACACGCTGCAAGTGCGTGCATGTGTGCATATTTCCATTTTTTAAAAAAGTGATAGTCCCTCTGAAAAAAAAAAAAAAAAAAAAAAAAAAAGGTTATGTTTGCATTTGGCATTACGTAGTCTAATTTTAAGTGAGCCACATGGAAAGTGTTTTCACGAGTCTCTCGATCAAAT